TTTTTTTTTTTTTTCAAACTTGCCTCGTTAACTGCAGAGCAGCTTTTTCCACTGACGCATGTTTTTTTTTTTGTCACGATCGCCAACACTAAAAGCAAATAGAATTTTTGTTACTGGAATTTTTTTTTTTAATTGATCAAAAGAAAGGTTATGGGCAAAAAAAATTGGGAAAGATTTTTTTTTTTTTTTGTGCCGATCAAAAACAAAGCCGAAGTCCTAAAGGAAATGTGTTGTTTTTTTTTTTTTTTCCTTTATCCAAGAATTGAATGCATAATGAAGTATGGAGTTATACGTTTTTTTTTTTCAAAATTGTATTTACCTATACATTTCCAAAATCCCTCCATTTTTCTCTTTTTTTTTTTCTTTTTTCTTTATTTTGCAAGCGCTTGTATGTATGTACGCTTTTGAATTTTTTTTTTTTTGGCACTTCTCGTTGCTTAGAACGATGTCGTCTCAATAAGTCAAGATTTTTTTTTTTGAGCTAGCGATCAGTTTTTCATGTATAAAATACGTCAGCAGTGAAAATTTTTTTTTTTTGATAACTTCTGTTTTGACCACCAATCGATGGTCTTTGTTTCTTTACTTTTTTTTTTTTCACAACGTACCACTGCTTTGCAGTTGCTATGAACACAAACCCGTTATTTTTTTTTTTAACCTGGTTTGTCAAGAATCTTTTATGTTGAGCATTCAAGGTGTTTGTTTTTTTTTTTACCCGTTATCGCCGGTTGAACCACAAGTAAACGAAAGATCTGAGATGTTTTTTTTTTTAGTGACTTTATTTGGTTGATTTGTCGTTTTTATCCACAATTGCCACATTTTTTTTTTTGCCGCCGGGCTTCGGTCTAATCGCAAAACCCCCTCCATTTTTTCGCCTTTTTTTTTTTTGTTTTCGGACGGTAACAAATGCGAAAAATTGAGCTCAAACAATAGATTTTTTTTTTTGAAGTGGTTTGGTCACCAATGACTGACCATTCTTACTAAACAACAACTTTTTTTTTTTTAACGCTTAGCAGTTACCATGAGCGCAAGCCCGTTGGGAAAAACAAGTTTTTTTTTTTAGTAATTTTTAATTCTTGTCATTCTGTCTGCCAAGATCCCTTGTTCATTTTTTTTTTTACACAAAAAAATATAGAGTATTTGATAACTGCTTTGGATAAAAAGTGTTTTTTTTTTTATTCCTAGATACTGGATAGGATTTCATCCAGATGACTACCACCTCCCTTTTTTTTTTTGGTGTTTGCGGGACGATAAATTGTTGGTTAGAGAGGTTCTTCTCTTTTTTTTTTTTTTTAGCGAGATGAATTAAAGCAATTTCTTGGGTTAATGGTGCGAATTTTTTTTTTTTTTTGAAGTTAAAGATGGAGTACCTAGACTGTCTCTTTACAAAGTAAGACTCTTCAAGACGCGTGTCAACAATATGTCTGCCGTGACAAGTGTATCACGGGTCATGTGATTTTTTTTTTTGCAAACAAACAGGAAACAAAGCYCCACTTCCTGCCTGGTAAATACCGTTTTTTTTTTTGGAAAGATCGAAGCGATTACAAATTAATCGGAGGGTCGACTAAAAGGTTTTTTTTTTTAGCGGAGAGAACAGATAATGTATACACTAACAGTTCCAACATGACAATTTTTTTTTTTATCTTGCTTGATAGAAAGCTCTTTTGTAGGGTATGTGCTGTCAAATATTTTTTTTTTTTAACAATCAGATTCCCGTTTTGAAGAAGATTAGTTACCGGCCATTTGTTTTTTTTTTTTAAATCTATTTTAAGCCAAACTTCATTCAGTTGCAAATTGTTGCACATTTTTTTTTTTCAAGTACACATTCGCTGGTACTGCATTTTCCGAAAAACTGAGATTTTTTTTTTTTTTTGAAAGAATTGCTTATAAAATTATTTGAAGAGAAATTGTATTTGATGCTTTTTTTTTTTTTTATATCTTTCACTTTTTTATCTATCAACTTGCGATCTTCTCCGCATTTTTTTTTTTTTGTTAAGATCTAAACAAGCTCTTGTGATCCTTTCGAGAACAACCTCTTTTTTTTTTTTGATCACGTTGATTTACACTGCGTGGCTACAAAACGAACTGAACAAATTTTTTTTTTTAGAAACAACAACAACAACAACAACAACATTGACTTTATTTTTTAAAATTTTTTTTTTTAAGGCTTTTGTAACCCGCAGTTAGCAAAGCTATTCTAGGCGTGCTACTTTTTTTTTTTCGGTATAGGTTCTCACACATACACACACACATACACACACACGCACGTTTTTTTTTTTACACGCAACAATGAAATAAATAAGTAAATGAGCAAATAAAAATAAATTTTTTTTTTTTGTAGTGATAATCATGTTAAAGGTTTTAACTGAGCCAGTCAACACAAGTTTTTTTTTTTCAGGTCAAAGAGAAAGCTAATCAGTTGAAATACAACTATAATCTAGATTTTTTTTTTTAGCGCAAGTCAACATTCATCCCCTCAATTTCAAGAATTTTCAAAAGCTTTTTTTTTTTCTCACGTTTAAAAGGTGCTTTCTTTAGCTTACGAATTTTTACATAATTTTTTTTTTTTATCTCGTCACCTGTAACTCAGTTGGTTTTGTACATGACAATGGATATTTTTTTTTTTTGTACTTCAGAGGGCGATCATCGCCTAGAGTACGTCTATGAACAGAAATTTTTTTTTTTGAAGAATAATTTAACTAACACCAAACGATAGATTACTTTTTTTATTTTTTTTTTTTTTGAAAATAAATAAATAAAAAAACAGGCCCCTTCTTGAAACTAAACGAATTTTTTTTTTTTCTTTTTTTTTATCTTTTTTTTTTTTGCCACAACTATTTAAGATAGTTTTTTTTTTTTTAAAATATACAATGAAAAATGCCTACTACTAATTGTACTGGTACTTTTTTTTTTTTTTGATCACAGCTGATCATGCCGAGAAATCGAATACGAAATGGCGGCGGAGTATGCGCAGTGTGAAAGATTAGCGGACTTTAAAAATGGTTGCCGTACAAAGCTTTATTTTTTTTTTTTATAAAATGCAGCTATATGTTTGGAGATAAAGTGGATAGTCAAAATTTTTTTTTTTTTTCCATTAAAAAACAACATAAGCAACATTCACAAGAATTCCTACGATCCTTTTTTTTTTTAAAGTTCGGCCCCGGACGGTCATTTTTTTTACCACTTACGGCCTCTCTTTTTTTTTTTATCCGCCTGTGTTTACCATATTATCCATGTCTCACCACGCCGATGTATTTTTTTTTTTTCAAATTGTCAACGTCTGAACGTCTTCTGCGATGATCGATTATCCATTTTTTTTTTTTTTCAAGCCACAGGGAGATGTTTAAGTTCGGCCGAAATAGCTGACAAAATCCCGTATTTCATGTTTTTCCAGGTATCGACCTCTTTGGGGAAACGAGTGCTTGTGCGAGAAAAAACTGAGTCGAATTTGGTGAAGTCTTGATACTCACAAGAAAAACGGTATATTTTTTTTTTTTGGCAGCCATATATGTTGCATATGTAAATGAGGAGTTTACTTTATGTATTTTTTTTTTTAATGCACCCTAACACAGCTATGCACGGCTATACACAGCTATACAGGGCTATACACAGCTATACAGGGCTATACACAGCTATACACGGGTATACACAGCTATACAAAGCTATACGGAGCTATGCAGGGCTATACAAAGCTATACAAGGCTATACAAAGCTATACAGGGCTATACACAGCTATACAGGGCTATACACAGCTATACACGGGTATACACAGCTATACAAAGCTATACGGAGCTATGCAGGGCTATACAAAGCTATACAAGGCTATACAAAGCTATACAGGGCTATACACAGCTATACAGGGCTATACACAGCTATACACGGGTATACACAGCTATACAAGGCTATACGGAGCTATACAGGGCTATACACAGCTATACAGGGCTATACACGTTGCACGTTGTAAACAAACCCCGAAACCATTTGACTGCGAAAGGCTTTAAATTGTTTTTGGGTGTAAAAGCTTGTCTCCAGAACCAAATAGCAAAGTAAATCAGTCGATTCAACCGGCGGAAGACAGTCAGGTTCGAAGTGTTTCCCCTCTATCAAGGCAGGATCGATTCCAATCGTCGAGATTACCATCCAGCCTTTTAGCGTAATCAGATAGTGGAATTTGGACTACATTGTCTGGATCAGACGAAGGAATGGATTTTCTTTGCTCAGAAGCCATATTTTTCGACTGTGAACTGACAAGCATTAGAACTTTGGATGCTGTTTGCATATATTTCTTGCTGAAACACGTGACTCGGATGTGCACCAACATAGCGGACATTAATTCTGTGACGTCAGGTGAAAACGATCTATACATCTCATCCCAAGTGGACATTTAACAAAGTCGAATGATGTCATTTATTTTTTTTCAAATAAGGCTTCAGATTTAAGAAACTAGAGAAACGTACACTTTGATTGGAATTAATTTTAATTAATAATTTTTTATCATAACAGATTTTATTAATCAAAACCTTGTGTTACACACGATTCCATGTTACGGTCATGTGTTGATCACAAACGACATCCACGTGACCAAGCCTCTATAGTTCTAATCCCTGAGGAAGACTAGCGGATGCCAGTCGAAAGCTCGGTTGTGCAATTTATTTTCTAATATTGTGTGTGTCAAGTTTAATTTTCTCTCAAAGTTATGTATTTCACCATAGTTAGTAAATCCCTTACCTTTTTTTAGAAGTAAAAAATTAAGAACACTCGAGAACACTTTCAGGCTGATTTCACCTAAAATGCCCGATAAATACGAACCCAATCAGCCTGAACCCCGAAAATGGGTGTTCTTGTATGCGGGTTTTTACTGTATTAAGGCTGCACAATACGTTAATTAATAACGATTTGTGTTGAAAATGAGGTGTTTTTCTGGTTAAACAGGGCCCCTAAAATCCCTTTCCGTCCTCCTTTTTCCCTTAAAAAATTGCACCGTTGGATCATTGGAAATAAACGTTTTATTGGAATATGAAAGCCTTTCTTTATCAGCTCAGAGAAAAAAACACATTTACTTCTTGACTGTACCTTTATTTTTGAAAAGTTCCAAAATCAAGTCACAATTAGGATAACTAATTCTATTGTCCTTGAGCTTTATGGCCATGCAGAGATAGATAGAAGAAATTTTAAAAATTTGCTTTAAACACATGTTAATAATTAGTGATTGAAGAAAGCAAATCTTAACGTATGGTAAATTGTGTTCATCGTTTCCGTTTTGTTTTCTACTTGTTTTTTAACTTGATTTCAAGTTGCACTCGTCTGTGGGATAATTTCAGATAATTTTGAAAGGATCCGACATCGCTGGGATAAACACTCATCTTTTACCAGCCATCCTGAAAGAAAGAAAACAAAAAATAAATTTTGATGGTAATTGAACTGACTAGAATGGAATTTGTAAGGGTAATCATACGATTTCAAGTGGAATTTGGGATTAATCAGCACAAATAAATTTTTGAAAGTCCTTGGAAAATTGACGAGTGCTGATTTATCCCAATTTGCACGAGAATAATCACGTTAACAATATACAAGCAAAAATATGTTGGTTATTTTTGGTGTCAAGGTTCATTTGTTCGGCTGCGTGCCTTGTTGCCGGAGTAGCGGGCTATCCTCATGAGGTTGCTTCGATCAAGCTTCTAAACTCTATTAGGAATAATACTTCACTCCTTCTCTGTTAGGAGTTGGTCGTCGGCAGTAACCATTACACGAAAGCTATCGCGCTCTTAATCTTCCTCGTCTTCCATACAGACTCTTGCGTAATGCTCCTCGAGAATTTCATTCAAGCCCTCCGGTTCACTCCTTCAGAGCCGAGCTTGTAAGCTCAAGACTTAAAGACTTTTAGCTGGTTGTTTGTCCTTTTTGGATGGTTTTCTTACAAGCGCTCTCTCTCAAACTCTGAATTTTAACGTTGTAACTTTCAACTCGCCTTGCGGCCTGTACATCATTAGACATGAGATCATAAGACAAATGAGTAAAGGCTGATAGTTTCGAAAGAAACTGTTTGGGGCTGCGTCGGTGGGAGTAACGAAATAATTTCGATATATTTTCGACGAAGGGTTAACGCTCGAAACGTCAGCTTTTGTAATCGTTACGGTGGCCAATTTACCATTTCAACTTTGTTGATATATCCAAATTATATGAGATCATAAGAGCTACTCTAAAACCATTGTAAAACCTTAATAGACCAGAACTGCACAGCTTAGTAATACCTAATTTGAAGTCGCTCAATTCAATGGGCTAAAGGCAAGATTTTGGTCTGTACCAAAATTTTTTTCATGTATAACCAAAAAGAAAAACCTTCGTTTATGTAGAAGTGATTGGGTGACAAAATTAGGGAAAGGCCCAAATAAAAATGTTTAGCCATTAATAAATCGAGGAATTCTGTTTCAGTGCTAAATAGCTGGACGGTTCTGTAGGTATCTGAAAAAGCAACACTTCCTACATCACACGATCGATGAATTTTTACTTCTGTCATGAAATTTCCTAAAGAGAAGGTTCTGCAATATTCTTTTTAGTTCTTCCAGTTGCCCCGTTTAAAAAAGCTACCACGGTCACATTAGTTGCGAATAACTAAAGAAATAAGATAATTTCTAAGGACATTGCTCTTTCTTTTGAAAATAGCATAACAAGGAAATTATTAGGAGTATCTGTTCAATAAAATCAGGTAACACTCACAGCCATGCCAAAAATCTAAGGTCACATCGTCACCAATCAGTTCAAAAGGAGCCCAAAACTTCTCATCCTTAAACTCTCTTGATTCTCTGAGGCATTTCATGGCCTGGGTCAGCGAGCTGCTTGCACTTCTCCCTGCTAAAAGGTGGTTGTAAAAGTTCATCATAAACTTCAAAGTCGCTTCATCGTTGATCGCCCAAAGTGACACAAGAACAGAACGAGCACCAGCAGCCAAAAAGGCTCGAGCGATGCCGACCACGCCTTCTGCCTTAACCCTCCCTCGGGCACTGTGACAACAACTGAGCACCACTAATCTCGCTCGCAATTTTACGTTCGATACATCTGACATTGTTAACAGGAAGTCTTCATATTCTGGAATTCTGCACGCTCTGTTGGGGTTTGGACACAGCACAATTTCTCCCGTTTCCATTGAGCCATGGGCTGCAATATGTATGAGGGCAACGTCTTTCATTCTTCGTAGTACTTCATCTTTCGTCGCTCTTCTTCCGATGAGGACGTCTGTCATGAGGATCTCTCCAATCTTCTCTACCTCAGTTCTAGCATGAGGGAGCGGTTCAAGTTTTCTACCATTAGGGAATACAACTTCGTCTACGAACGGATCTCCAACAAGAAGTTCACCTTGTGTGTTGTGATATTCCTCTCTACTATTGAGAATTACCCTTAAGCTTGATAAAGAAGGAGCTAGCCTCACTCTGAATCTGTCACACAGGTAGCAAGAACTTGATTCTGCAAGGGCACAAAAAGGGGTCAAGAAGAGTGGTCCATCTGGGACGATGACAACTTCGTCTCCATCTATCAGGTTTACAAGAGGAAGTATGATGGCATCATACAACCGACGTAAAGTGCTGTGTTTTAAATGAGCGGGTTGGGGATGGTGCTCACCAGCTTTCCTGTGAACAACTGTTTCTTGTCTGAGAACGTTTAGTGAGCGATCCTCACAGGAAACATTTTCTTCAATCTCGGTCTCTAGATAAATACTATTATTTAACGATTCAAAGAATTCTTTTGCGCTTGTTTGGCTATCAGTTCCTACTTCTTCAGAACTCAGGAAAACATCCCCGTTTTCGAGGATCAACCAGCGATTCATCTTGTTTCCATCGAGTGCTAAAAAGAGCGTATTAGATTGGACATCAAAGACATTTTGCTTACGCTCAACTAACTCAATGGTTTCGTTTTCATGAACTCCATAATGTGACTTCATTAAATTCATCAGCACTTGAGCTCTTCCTTCCTCAGCGACCAGTAGAGCGTCCTCCCACTTTTTTTGTTTGATCAAAATCCTGCACAAGGCAACATGCGCCATTTGACAGTTATCCTGGAAACTTATTCTCCAGTTGTCTTTATTCTGGAGAAGCATGTCTAATGACTTAAACCGTTCAATGCTAGTCTGAAAACAATGGAAAGCCTTTGACAAGTTCTCCTTTTTTTCATAAACACATCCAAGGGAGTAGTTGGCATATCCTTGTTCAATCGTGTTTCCTACCTCTTTCGAAATGTTGAGGTGCAGTTCTTGGTAGCGAATGGCCCGTTGAAAGTCATTAATATCTAAATAAGCATCCCCAAGGTTCCCATAGACAATTCCTTCGAACTTTCTGTCCCCGACTTTCTTGGTAATGCTGAGACACTTTTTAAAATATTCTATGGCTTTTTCGGGCTCTCTCAGACTTTGGTGGGAAACGCCAATATTTCTGTATGCGCATCCTTGTTCAAACAACTCATTCAGGGACTCTGCGATAGTACGATGTCGGTCATGATGCTCGATTGCCTCTTTGTACTGACCAATACTGTGAAACACATTTCCTAGATTGCCGTACGCTCGTCCTTGGGCCATCAAATTACCTCTTTTTTCGGAAGCAGCGAGAAAGAGTTTGTAAGAAAGGAAAGCTTCTTCAAATTCACCAAGTACGTGGAAGGCCCTGCCAAGTCTTTGATAAGCAGCGGCTTCTTCAGTGGTAAGTCCCATTTCTTTAGAAATTGCTAAGTTTAGATTTCCGTATTCAACAGCCTGTTTATAATCACCGAGATTGTAACAATCATCACTGAGCTTTCCATATGCATGTGCCTGTGAAGGTCTGTCCTCAAGTTCTTTAGCTATATTGAGACTCAGCTTGTGATACTCAAAGGCCTGTTTAAAATCGCATAGACCAAAGCAAACATTGCCAAGATTACAGCACACTTTCCCTTCCTCTTCTCTACAACCCAGTTCTTTTACAATTGTCAAATGTAACTTGTAGTAATTAATGGCTTGTTCCAAGTCAAGTAGTTCGAAGTAAGCCTCGCCAAGGTTCCTGTAAGCGTCTCCTTCCCAAGCCTGATTTCCAATTTGTCTCGCGATTGACAAGAACTGCTCGTCATACTCTAAGGCCTGTTTAAATTCCTTCTGACAACGGCAAACAAGCCCCAGATTGCCACACGCTCGTCCTTCTCCCGCCCTGTCTCCGACTTCTCTTGCGATCTCAAGATGTTGTTCAAAATATTTTTTAGCTTCTTCGTAATTGCCTCGGGTCAGGTAAATATTACCGAGATTATAGCTAGCTTGACCCTCACTAGCTCGTGGTCCAACTTCCTTGGCGATACTATGGTTTAATTTGAATAAGGGAACGGCTTGCTCAAAGTCATCGAGGCTAAAATATGCAGCACCAAGATTCCCGTACGCTCGTCCTTCTCCAGCACGGTCCATAGTTACCAAGCTGATGTTTAAATGTTCCTTATGGTAACCTATTGCTTCTTTAAAATTCCCAAGAAAATGATGACATTTTCCAAGATTTTCACATGCTCTGCTCTCTTCCTCTTTTGATCCACAGTTCTTTGCCACATTCAAATCACGTTCGAAATTTTCTATCCCTTTCTTGACATCATCAACATTAAGTGGAACGCTGAACCCAGACATCTGATATTCTTCAATGTCTTCACCTTTGGTGAATAGATTAAAATAGCTCTTGAAGGCAAAAGCAACCTCTTTCCACCCTTTTACGCTGTAAATCAGACCATCCACTTTGGAGTACATTGTTTCGTATTCCTCTCCAGAAACTATTTGGGAATAGCCTTTCCGACAAATTGTCTGCATTCCCAAAACTACTTGCATAGTTCTATCCTGAAAAGGCATATCACAATAGATTACTAGTCAACTTTAATTAGCTAGAATTTAATTTGTACCTAAACAGCACATTATAACTTTATTATTCATAGCCATATAATTACGTAGTTTAGGTTAGTGATATTTTTCCTTAAAAGGAGAATTGTAACTTGCAAGATTTTTTTTATTTTTTATACACTTTCATGTTAGATTCAATAAAGGTTATTTCTCATTGTATCAAATACTGATTCTCAAACCTTTGATTTTGACTCAAATTTAGCACCACACCTCATTCATTGGTGTTCAGTATGTATCGCTTTAAATGGTGGCACTGTTGTGTTAGCTGATGATTAGCTGATGTTTGCCCTTCTATTTCAACTGAAACATAAGGACGTAATTTGGAGAGTCCTAGGGTGCCCGTGATTCCCCTTTCTAAGCCTTTTTTGTCACATGAAGTAAACACGGTGTGGAGGTCGACATGACAATCTGGTGGGTACCCTTATGTTTGACACGGTGTGAGACCCCTTTAAAAATCCTGGCTACGCCCCTGTAACATTTAGGAAAAAGAAATTTAAAATGTTTTGATCATGCTATTTTGACTGTTTGGGCGGGTAATGAACACCCTTGCCCTTTTTGGTTTTTTGTTTTTTGCTTTTTTCATCTCGCACAATTTTTCATCTGGTCAACTCTGATTACAACTGCTAAAACAGTTTAGAATATAATATCCTTTCCAGTCTTACACACAGTGTTGATTATATTCTCACCATAAATGAAACATTTTCCTGGGATTGTAATGCCACTGCTTTGTCCTGTTCTACGTCTGTGCCGCTTTCACAAAGTTTGTGTAGGAATCTCTCCTTCATTTCTTGCAAAGTCCTGTCTTCTTGGTTAATCTTGTTTCAGTCAAGGTGCTAGGAATAACACAATTACGCTGGAAATCTTGGCAAAGTAGGCTGAGATAGCGCGCAGCACATTTTTATCTTTTTGTCGCTCTTTCCTTCTTCATAATAGTGAGATGACACATCTTTAAAACATGTACGTCTGCGCAGTAATCGCCCTTAGGATAGACTCAACCTAACAAAACTTACTCTACTTACTTTTGATTATTGAACAAATATTTTCAAATATGCGTTTGTTTCCTTTTTTTGATATATGATGTACATGAAAGGATACTACTAATCCATCGTCACACCACGTGAACGCTTCTCTGTACATACTCAGCTCAAAGAAGGCACATGCTCCTTGTGTTAAAAAGAAGTACGTATAAAATACAGAAATAATCGGATAAGTGAAATACAGTAAATGGCTGTAAATCAAAGGAGATACAGTCGACAGAGCAGTGTATTGCAGTTGTCGATCGTCAGTCGTCATTGGTAAGTGTCACTCCGTCGGTACAGTAATATAAGTTTACTTTTCTGAGTAGGTCGCTTGTCGAGTCGAGAACAATGAATGAACTGATCAACATACGTATGGTACACGATCCTCGCAGTAGAGAGCGCTATTTATGCAATAGCGAAAATCAGACCTGATAAAATTATCACGGGTTTATTACGAATCAACTTAACGGCCTGCTCCCAGTTGGCTTGGTAGCTCAACTGGTAGAGCGCTGCACTAGTATCCCAGAGGTCAGTAGTTCGAATCCCGTACAGGCCTGATTTTTTTTTTTTTTTTCAGGTCTGATTTTCGCTATTGCATAAATAGCGCTCTCTTCTGCGACGATCGTGTATCATACGTATCTATAACCGCAGTTCAAAATATATGAACTTCATATATTCATATATCTGAACTGATCAACGTTATTCAGTTTTAGAATTAATGATGGAAAAAGCTCCCAAATTTAACATGAGTAGGAGAGAGGGCCTTCCTCCTACCTCCAATGAGATTATTAATTGCTCAGAAATTTTTGTAGGAAGGAGACGAAGCTGATTTGAAAATTTCTCCTAAATATTCGCTGTTTTTTTCCTCCGCTTAATCCAACTAATGTATTGATATATACCTAGTAAATGATTATGAATAACTAATACAAGCGAAATCGTTCAACGAATACTCCGAATGCATTACTATTTTTGGCTCATGGATGAGGCCCTCAGTGTGGGTGGCCTTATGGTACTCACTCACTCGATTCTGCTGAATTTATTCAAGCTAGATTAAGTATTCAACTCCAACCTCCTCTGGCAAGTAATAGCTTTGTTCTAATATGTCTTTCAAGTTTTAGAGGGGACAAGAAGAGCGTGAATTTTTGCCCAACAGCATGGGGTGTTTAAGCGGTACTAGGATGGTATATGTTTGAATGGTATCGAGCACATTCCGCTCAATACTTTCCTTTGCCACATCAAAGCGGCGTTCCAGTCGAGTTGGTAGGCGAGTAAGATCATTCCTCACCGTTTTCCCCCTCATGAGTATAACTTCCGCTGAAACTAATTCAATACCCGAACGATTATCTTTGCTCATAATGTGTAACATCATGTTATTGGCTGTTCAGTTTGTTACTTGAGCTTTCCAAAGGAAACGCCCGAGTTGAAATTCCGGATTTTTTTTTCTGTTTTTGCGTCTAGTTTCAAATTGTAGTCGAGTCCTTGACACGCACGCGCGACGTTTTGACTGATGAGCATATGGCATGATGCAATGGCGGAAGGGGAGAAGTTTTTGCAGAGCAAAATCAGCACAGATACTCTCTATAATACTTTCAAAACGCATAAAATTACACACACACAGCGTTCGCAGTAGACCCAAACTAAAAGATGTCCAGCGTTTTCGGAACGTGTCGGTCCGCGAACCTTATGAGAGATCTCTCTATGAGCGAACATTGATGAGTGAACCTTTAACAGAAAAACGTGCTCTAATAACTGGGCTATCTAAAGTTAATCGAAAGAAGAAATAAAAGTAAACTTCATCATATATGTAGACGTGATCATGAACCAAGTAGAAAACTAAGAAGTTAGAAAATTTTAAGGAACAAGAGCAGAAAGGTTAAGGAATTTGTCTGTGCACGTGTTCTTTCGTGTATATCCATGTCATCCACATTGTATTGTTATACAAATGCTAGAAAACCTACGAAAGAAAACGACCTTTAAGTTTGGCTGTCGTGAAATAATTTGTCAACGAACAAAAAGATAAAATATCGTGCCAGTCGATCCGTCGATATTTAACTTTGTTTCCTTGTAACAAACAGATGCGTTCTTGCAAGAGTGAGGCTCCTGCAGCAAATTGTTGCAACTATAAATTAAGTAGAGACTGACATAGAAAAAAAAATCCTGATCCTCATAGATATGTTGACCCTAACAAAACAATAGCAGCTCCATATTTTCAAAGTAATGAGTTAGTTTTAGGATAGAATGTAGGACAATAATATGTTGCAATGAGTTCGTGCTCTTTGATTTCAAATAACACACAGGGGATCAGCTCTACAAATGATGATCTTCTACAAATAATGAGTTTTGGAAATCAGTTGTACTTAAGTTTGTCACAATTAGCCAGACAGGTGTTTTTAATGCAGTCAGAATTACCAACAGCATTAAATGTATTATACTGATTATCAAATGAAATACAGTGAAAGCTACTCTGGATATGTTCCCCAAGAAAGAAATGTCGCCTACGTGCAGGAAATGTCGCCTACAGTACATTGGTTCCACTACAAATGACTTTAGCGTTAGATTTCGCAACCACAAGTCTGCTGTGGTTACTAAGTAAAAGACCTGGAAGTAGCGGTACATTTTAACAAAACACCACATGATTTAAGCGATTTCTCATTCCAATGCATTGATCAAGTGCAGGCGACAGTAAACAATTCAGGTAACATCGAGAAACTTCTAATTACCAAAGAAGCATATTGGAGCGCACAGTTGTTCTCTCTGGCACCCTTCGGCTTGAATAAGCGCCAGGAATTTCACTCCAAAAAAAGAATAAACTATAATTAATGCGGAGAATTTTTTCAAATTGGGCGGGCATCAAAGGTCCCAGTCTCAGCGTTGATTGGGAATTTTAGCACAATTCTCGCCTTTCAAGTCAACGCTGGTTCCTTAACATTTTCAGTAGATTCGACAATTTTYTATTGTGATAATTTTTCGCGTAGTAATTACTGTTTTTGTTTATATGTGTCATCACGCCCTATATAAATATATTTAAGGAATCTGTAAGTCTTTGTATTACAACTGATGAAGGTCTCGGACCGAAACGTATTTTATCAAACTTTCTTAGACTTTTTATTTGAGTATATTGTCTTTCTTAGCTCGAAGTTGTCCGTCCTCGTGCACTACAATATTTTTCCTATTATTTATCGAGGTTTGGACTGTGAATCCTTGTGGATCGTTCAACCTCAGCCCCTAAATTAGATGTTCTTATATGAAAAAAAGAGTATCTATCAGATCTTAAAAAATCGACCCGATTCACCGTATTAAGTTTGTGCTTTAACTAATGATGTTTTTGTTCACTCGAAAAGGGGCATTAAAGGCAACAATTCTAAGTATGAACTGTGACAAGCCTGGGGTGTCAGGCCCAGGCGAGTTTGGGACGACTAGTTAAAAGCATCATGAAGATCATGAAAAATCAGGTTTCTAATATCAATGGGTAATAAGGACGAAGTCTGTTACTCATACCTTTCTCGATAGCACTCAGAAAAGTTGGCTGACATGCTCTCGCTGATTTGGCATCCTTCAAAGCATCATCATAACTGCCTGTCACATAATGCAAATAATAGAAGTTTACTGGTTGATCATCCGATTTTCAATCTTTTGTAAGCCAATTGGTCTCCCTCGTAGCCGTTTTCAGTCTCATCACGCAACGTGGGGAGGCCGGAGGAGCGTTGTGTGACGAGACTAAAAACGGCTGCGAGGGAGACTATAAGCCAGTAAGCCAGTAAACGCCCCTGATGCGTAGGATTGGATCACTTATTGATTGATTGATTGGTTGGTTGCTCGATTGGCTGATCAAATGACTGATTAGTAAATCGATTGAAGTGTCGATCGATTGACTGATTGACTAACTGATTGATCGACTGATTCCTTGAATGTTTTCGATTGATTGATTGATTGATTGACTCGTTGAATGATCGACACATTCTTTTAATGCTTTATTTTGGAATATTAATTGCCGATAGACTGGTCGGTCGATTTATCCGTCGAAGGATTGCTCGCTGGATTTCAAGATTGACTTTGAAGATTTCACAATTTCGTCTGTTTTTTCTAACACCTTAGTTAAAACTCGATTTGGAAAACATCTTAAAAGGCATTCTCACCTATCAAAATATAGACATGTGCCCTGTTTGTATAAAGCAGGGCATTAAGGCGGTCATCTTTACACTCCACAGTAATTCCCTTCGTGTAGCAGTCGATGGCCCTCTGAAATTCATTTTTCCTCAGCTCCTCGTCGCCATCCTTGTTATGCCTGTCTGCAATTTCTAAAGACATAAAGGAGTCGTGACAAACAAGGCCAGAGATTTGCGGTTTCAGGTATCTGAAATCTTTTTAAACAAATCAGTTATACGCTGTTTTCGTTGCAAAATACGGATTTAGATTATGTCGTTTCCATGATTTTTGATACTTAACAGGAAGTGTTTAATTTTTTACCTCAAAGGGAAAAGAAAAGGGTACACCAGTATCCGAATAATTCCTCCCTTTCACTGGCTCTCCTCCTGGTAGGACCTAAAATCTACCACGCTGTTGTGACCCTACTCAACCGGGAACCATTCAAATGGCTGAAAATTAGTAATTAATGAATTACACAATTAGCTGCTCGATAACTATTTGCTTTGTAACGCAATGATCTTGGTCTACGAGGTTTTCTCCCGCTTCCATCTAATAACATGAACCTCTAAATTTTTCTAATTTGGTAATCACTGGTTTTGATGCTAGTCACCAGACACTTTAATCTATCTAATCATTCTAAGCAACATATGGCAATCTGCGGTCTTTCCTTACATTTAGATAGCTCAGAAAGCTGCAAAACTCTTGAACAAAAGTTCATCTTTCAAAACGGCACTCCTAATCCCATAGGCATCAACGAACGCTTTTCATTCTACTAATTTATTCGTGTTTTTCTCGTCGCCAAGTTCCCGCCGAGAGAGTAGCTCCAATTTCTGCATATAAACCCACAAACAACCCAAATCCTCCATTCGCTCTGACGAAACGTTAGGTTTTTATCTCTTTACGGTGGCCAATTAAAATTTCAACTTAGTTGATATTACCAAATTACCTTGTTACCCCCACCGACGCAGCACCGCAGTTTCTTTAGAAACTTACCCCTTTATTGTGTCCATAATGTTCGCTTAATAAAATATATTATATATACAAGGCTAAAAACATTAAGAAAAATAGTTAACCCATTATTCATTTGTCTAAACTTTTCTGCCCTAGAAACATTGTACCCAGAACGCATTTTAAGTGACCGCAAGTTCTTTTTTCTTTTGACTGTTTGAATATAAAGATATGGCAGTAAATTACACACACGCCATTATTCCTATATATCGTCAAAAGAGTATAGGATTATTTTCGTCACTAAAGTGTTAATTAAACTTTAACTGTTAAGTTCAACTGTACCCACAGTTCTTGTTTAACATCAGGTCGTAAATAATCGAAGCGATTCAGTAACTAATTAGTTTTTGTTCACCGGGAAGGAGGCGTTTAAAGCAACAATTCTAAGTATAAACTATGAAAAGTCTGGCTATCTTTTATGCGTAGTTACTATTCCGAGATGATGGCCTCAGACTTATACCAACTTGTATACACAAGCTACAAGCAATGATGCAGCAATGTAAACTGTAAAGCCGAATACACCTCTTCCCATCATCCTTCTTTATTTAACTGCCCTTTCGTTCGCTAATCTAATTCATCCATGAGTCGCCTGACACGGGCCTTTGATTTGCGGTATGGATCACCATCACAAAGAAATAATTTGATAGGAAAAAAAAACCTTCTGGGTCATTACCATGTTCTAAGAAATAAGGTTGCCAATATTAATGGGTAATAATGACGAAGTCTCATACCTATCTGGATAGTCTTCAGAAAAGTTGGTTCACATTTCTTTGCTGATTCGATATCCTCCAAAGCATCGCCATCATTGCCTATCACATAATGCAAATGATAGAAGTTTACTGGTTGATCGACCGATTTTAACCTTTAGTAAGCCAGTAAACGCCCCTGTTGAGTGGGATTGGATCCCATATTGATTCCATATTGATCCCATATTGATTGGATCCCATATTGATCCCAATTGATCGCTTGATTTATTGATTGGTTGGTTGATCGATTGGCCGATCAATCGACTGATCAGTAAATCGAATGAAGTGCCGGTTGATTGATTGATTGACCAACTGATTGATCAACTGATTCCTTGAATATTTTCGATTGACTGATTAATTTACTCGTTGAATGATTGACACAATCTTTTAATGGTTTATTTTGTAATATTAATTATTTATTTTGTAATATTAATTATTGTTGTCAGTACAACATTCTGCTGACAACAATCATTCACTTGACTCTGATGATGACTTCCGCACAGGTTGTCGAAACGTCAGTCACTACCACCGACAACAGTCCTTCTCAGGACTACACTCACCCGGACGATCAGACTACACCTTCACATTAATTGACTGATAGACTGGTCGGTCGAGATTTATCCGTGGAAGGATTGCTCGCTGGATTTCAAGATTGACTTTAAAGATTTCACAATTTCGTTTGTTTGCTCCAACACCAGAGTTAAGACTTGACCAGGAGAACAACTTACGAATGTAATTCTCACCTATCAACAAGTGGACATGTGCTCTTTTTGCGTAAAGTTGGACATTAAGGCAGTCATCTTTACACTTCACTGTAATTCCCTTCGTGTAGCAGTCGATGGCCCTCTGAAATTCATTTTTCCTAAGCTCCTCGTCGCCATCATTTTTGTACCCATCTGCAATTCCTTAAGAAATAGAGGAATCGTCACGAACGAGCTTTCGGGTTAAATTCTTAGTCATCCGGAATCCTTTTCACTGATTAGTTATGCGGTTTCTTCTTTGTTTAATACGGGTTTAAATTATCGATATCTCGTTTTCCATAATTTTTGATACTCACTTGGCAATGTTTAACTTTTAACTCACAAGAAAAAGAAAAGGGGTACGTAAGTGTCCTACTATTTCCCCTCCCGTCCTGGCTCCTCCTAAAATGTACCGCGCTCTTGTATAATTTGACTCGTCTCTACTGTGACCATTGGAAAGACAGAAACCAATTCAAGAATAAGATTTCGTCGGCAGAATTCATTTTCTCACCTCTTAATACAGAGTTGTCCTCGTCAGTATCAAAGTTGTGATAAGCTTGACTTTCTAACGCCATGGACTTTAACCTACGAAGTGTCTTGTTGTCATGATCTATTTGTCACTGTAAAGATTCTTTTAACGTTTTATGATTTCAGATTATTCAAACAGAAATACGTGGTTATGCTATCTGTTCATTTGGAAAGGTTTTTGACGACTCTTTGCCAACTCGGCGAGGCTTTGTATCCAGTACTACGCAAAGGAAACTGCATCTATCTGACGAAACCTCAATAATTTCCCTTTCTTTTAGATTTTTGTGTCAAGGCAGTTCAATGTTCAGTGTTGTTCGAGTGCTGACCCTGTTGAGGGGTCGTTTATCGTGATTGCATACGTCCTTACGCGCCTGATTCATTCCATCGACTTTACAAAACCAAATAAATTGATGCAAAACAAGGTGACACGGAGCAAAGCAAGCAAAGCGGTAAAAGACGAGTGTGACTGAAACAAGCTGCTACTGAACCACACTACAACAGGCGCAGAACTCACGAGAATAAATAACCAAGCCAAAGGGTACAAATTAAAAATTAAAACCTAACATACGAAACGAAGGAAGTCACACTGTAAGAGGGTCTCAATGGGGTGCTGGCTTTTACGGTTATCGGCTAAAATTTTGGCTCTTTTACGGCTATCGGTTAATTTTTTACAGTTACGGTTAACAAAAAAGTTAAAATGTTAAATATTAATAAACCTGTGTTGTTTTAATCTTTAAAGCAAAATAAAGGTGTTATGGTCATCTCAAGCTTAAAGGAGTTATTCTTTTGAAAAAATTTAATATTTGATAAATCATACCACTTCTAATATTATTTTACGCTTAGAATTGTGAACTACGAAAAAGGATTCAATACAAGGCCATACACAACTTAACTTACGTCATGCATTCTTACATTTACTTGTAGGAGTGGTGACCTGTTTGTCCTTATATGGTGTTATATGCCTGTTAAAATGTCTCAAAATAAAGCAATGCTTGACGCCTCAAAATCCTTCAATGTACAGTCTAGCTTGTCTCGGGTACCTTTTTTTGCCTAGACATCAAACCGTGTCCACACCTTGACTTGCCTTCCGGACCTTGTTACTACTGGCTTACTGATGATAAGATCCTCTGAGTCACTATCCGTATCAACATCGCTAATTTCAGAATCGCTTTCGTACTCCTCC